CTCCTCTAACCCTCCTCTGTGCCCTCCTGTGGCTCTCCTCTAACCCTCCTCTGTGCCCTCCTGTGGCTCTCCTCTAACCCTCCTCTGTGTCCCGCAGTTCCCCCATGAGGACGTGCGCCGGTCTGCCTTCAGTGCCATGGGTCAGTTCTGCAGAGCTCAGCACACGGTGTGGCAGGGGGACCCCACTGAAGATCACCAGCAGGGTAGGCGTGTCCGCCATCCGCCCCTGGCGCTCATCCCCTTACCAGTGGTAACGTGACTTCCACCCACCTGCAGCCCTGCAGAGGCTGCTCTCTGTGGTTCTCTGCTGCCTTCTGGAGGCTGTGAGGCAGGACCGCGAGAGGCACGTAGTCATGGCTGCTCTGGAAGCCATGAATGCCATTATCCAGTCCTGCCAGGGGGAGGCGCTGCAGGGTCCTGACCGGTTGACGGACATCTGCAGGACCATCCGGGATGTCCTAAAGAAGAAGGTGAGACCTTCGGCCATCCACTGGAATCGGGTGACACTCTGAGGTGCTTGAGTAAAGCAGGTCTAGTGATGGCAGCAGAGAAGATTGTGGATAGATGGATAGATGTTTATATACTTTTCTGTGACCGTCCCCACAGATCACATGTCAGGATGGAGGCGGGGATGATGATAATGATGACGATGATGAAGATGACCAGCAGGTAAGAGCTGAGATATCTCAGACGTGAGCCCGTAAAGAGCGCCAGGGGTGGCTACAACAGGCCCTGAGTTCACCGGTGCCGTTTCAGCCCCTTAAGCAGGTCCCTGTATTTCCTGCCACAGGCAGAATACGATGCCATGCTGCTGGAGTTTGCCGGTGAAGGAATTCCTCTTTTGGCAGCCGCTGCACCCGTGGACGCTTTTGCCCCCCACCTGCGGGAGATGCTGCCCCTGATCATAAACAAGGCCGTGAGTCAGTCTGCGAGGGGTAGGGATGGGGTTTTGACGGAGGCCTGCTAACAGAGGCCTGCTAACAGAGGCCTGCTAACAGAGGCCTGCTGACAGAGGCCTGCTGACAGAGGCCTGCTGACAGAGGCCTGCTGACAGAGGCCTGCTGACAGAGGCCTGCTGACAGAGGCCTGCTGACATAAGCAGAGCCCCCTTGTGTCCGCAGAAGGCGTCCTGCACGGTGGCGGATCGCTCCTTCTCTGTGGGCACGCTCGCTGAGATCCTCCAGGCCCTGGGGAGGGTGCCCGGCGGCAGCGAGGTCGCAGGGCAGTTGGCCTCCCAGCTGCTGCCCGTACTGGTGGGCGGGGCCAGGGACGATGACGCGGAGGTGCGCAGTAATAGCGTCTTCGGGCTGGGGGCGCTGGCTGAGGCAGCAGGACCCGCAGTCCTGCAGTATCCTGTACTACGACGCTGCGTCCTGGGGCTCTCCAGGGTCAGCAGGTCTTTTCCCTCCCCTGTGGTTCTAATATGTGGATTTTGGAAATCTATGGACGGCGACTGGAGGGTGGAGGCCCTTTCTGCAGGCTGTGCCCCTTCCTTGACTCTTTTCCAGAGACTACCCAATGATGCTGGCCCTCTTCTCCTCCCTCCTGTCGAAGGAGGTGGATGCGAGAGTCATCGATAACCTGTGTGCTGCCATCTGCAGGCTGATCATGAGCAGTGCTGAGGCCGTGCCGCTAGAGCAGGTACTTGGAGCACGCTTCACGCGACTGTATCCTCTGGTGTCCCAGGTCGCGTTTTCCTTCTGCATTCATAACTTTACAATAGAAGATGTTTTGACCCTCTCCCCCTCCCACAACTACAGGTGTTTCCAGCCCTCGTCTCCCGGCTGCCCCTCAAAGAGGACCTAGAGGAAAACCAGACTGTGTTTAGCTGCTTGGCGTTCCTTTATGGCCAACAGCCTTCCCTGGTACTGAACGAGATGCTGTTAGACGGACCCAGAACAGACACGTCTTGTCGTGATGGTGGCACCCTTAGTCACCCCATTTACGCAGCTGTTGTGTTTCTAGGTCCTGGGCCACCTGACAGCCATAGTGTCCGCGTACAGCCACGTCCTGAGGTCCAAAGATGTCGACACAGGTGAGACATAATAAAAATATTATGAGTAACTGATCTTGTGAACCCTGAGCAGGCTGCCAAATGCTGTAGGTGAATTAAGTCTCCCATACACATTGTCTTCTCTTTTAGAAACTCTGAACACCCTGCTGGTATTTCTACGCAATGTGGTCGGGCGGAACCCCACGGAGTTTGAGGGTGCTTTGATGTCACTTCCCCCAGAGCAAAGAGAAGGGCTAACAGCAGCTGTCACTCAGTCATAGCTGCCAATCATATTGCAGGGGGCGGGATTCTGCGTTGCTCTCTGAGAATAGCAGCACTGTCCTGAAGGCAACCCTTTCTCCCTTCAACTCTGATCCGAATTACTGTTTTAATAGTACTGGATTAGTGTGTACAGTGTCTGGTGAAGGTCTGTGTAATTGAATGAGGAAAAGTGGGAGAATGTTCCTTTGAAATGCTCTTGAACCCCCTCCCCCCCCCCCCATTTAAGTGTTAACAGCATTTTTGACTTTCCCACCATTGACATTAATGGAGCCGTTGGTGGGCGGGGTCTGGATCTCCAGGTGGGGAGGATAATGACCCAAACTCACAAATAAACCATTTCTGCTAACTCTGCTCTCCTTTGCATTTGTTGGCCTGGTTCATGTTGCCCCCACTGTCTGTCATGACTAACCATAACCAAGCTGTGTATGAAGCGCGGTCTCCTCATACTGCTCACCTACTGGCGCTGATGTGTGGTTCAGTGTGACTCGGCTCATTCTATATGTGTCTGCGTTCGATGATCTCAGTGGTTGCAGTGACCTCGTAGCTCGCTAGCCCAGAACAGATGGGGGTTTCCTGGTGTTTCCTTATGGCTTTATGGTGTGCCGAACTGGCACCAGCTTAGCATCATGCAGCTGCGTGTTTGTGATGAAGCACAATGGATGAAAATGGCAGATCAGAAGTAAGAGTTTTGAGCTGCAGCCCACTATCTGACTTATGTGTATTATAAGTCTTCCATATCTGCTCCTCAGAGCAGGGCATCATGACTGACCTGGAGACCTTAACTGAAAATTGACCAAAAAATAATCCCAGTTCTTAGCAACAAAAAGATTTCTGTTTTAATGAGTTTACATGATTTTTTGCAGTATTTTTCTTTTTACTGTTTGTGAGTTATCTACATCTCCTGGTTTGTTCAACCTTCTGCCATTTGGGTTGGTTTCCCCTGTGGACAAGTGAGGGTCATTTCCACTGGCTTCAGGTGATTCTCTGTGGAATGGAGAAATTAAGGTTAGGTAGGAGGATGACACCTGGAATACTGTGTTGCACAGAAAATGTTCTTGAAATGTTCTTGTAAATGATCTTGAAGGACCCATGCTTGCCAGAGATGTATTGTTCTGGCCCAATCAAACTTCATTATATACCGTCAGCCGAAACTGAAACCAGAGCCAAATACCGTCCATCACGACGGGGTTTAGTAAGGTGCTGCCATGTGGGATGGGGGGGGGGGGTGAGAATTGGCACACAGGAGTGAAAAAAATACTTCTGGATTATTTGCCTGCTGGATAACAAAGAAGTAAAAGGGAACCATTTTTATGCTTTTATCTGGAAACAAGCTAGCTGGGTTGGAAGGTCTGAACCTGCAGGAATCTGAGTCGCCCGAGTCAGTAGGCTGGGATCTGTGGGAGTTCGTAAATCAGCTGAGCAAGTAGGTGTGGACCGGTGAGAGTTCGTAAATCAGCCAGTAGGCTTGGACCTGTGAAAATTTGTAGATCAGCTGGGTCAGTAGGCTTTGACCTGTGTGAATCCATAAATCAGCCCGTAGGCTTGAACCTGGTAGAATTTGTGAATAAGCTGGGTCAGTCAGCTGGGGGCCTGGGAATTTATAAATCAGGCATGTGAGTAGGTTAGGACCTGTGGAATTACTTTATCAGCTAGTAATCTTGGACCTCTGGGAATTCATAAACGTTGTTGAGTAAGTCAGCTTGAACCAGTGGGTGAAGAACATTGAGGTGTTGAGGACAAGATAAACCCAGAAAGTGGTCAGTGTGAGTCTGCCTACCAGGCCAATGGTGCTTCCAAGGGCGGATGTCCACGGAGCTGTGGCAGTAGGGGCGGTCGCTGTGCGTCTCGGATCGATATGTGACCTCCTGTGTTTTAGGGTCCCCGGGCCGCTTGGCCTTGACTCGCACCTCCAGAACCACAACCTCCTTCTCCTTCAGCTTCCCCAATTTGTTCTTCACCCTGGTGCGTTTGGAGTCCACCCACACCACCTTCTCCTCCACTGCTGACCTGCACACATTGTGCCATCTTCAGCCACACACACACATCATACTTTCCAGGCCTGGTCTGACTGCTTGAATGGACTTTGCATCGTTGTAAACTTTGTTCCCAGGACACCAAGCTCATCTGCCTTTTCACGAGAGACCTGAAATGTGCTTAGGAATCACCTTACAGAATGACTTGTTATGGGTATTTTGGGGGTAAAAACAGAGGATCCTCAGCACATGGACTAAGTGCTGCCGACTGAAGACGTCCACGGCTTTCAAGCTAGTGAACGCTGCTGAGCAAAGCGGGCGTGGAGCTGGGCACATGCAGCACCTGAAAAAGACACAGACAGTGAGACTCACCGCGCAATGCCCAGGTCCTCCAGCGTGCTGTCCAGGAGGGGAAAGGCCTGCTCCACGTTCAGGATCTCAATGGGCAGCCGCACACAAAAGGGCACCTCCCAAAGCACCTCTGCCAGCACCATGTCCTGCCGCCCCTCTGGTCCCATGGTGTCTATCTGTCTGTCTGCTATTCCCATGAATAGAGAAAGTGACCGTCTGCTTATGGTGTGGGTCAGTCAGTCAGCTCGTAACAGAGCCTCAGCAGAATTGTCTGCCTTGATCCCAGTCGCAGTTTCTCTGGGTTTGAGATGGGATAAGGAGGTGGTGCCGACCAGAAGCTCTCTTCCCAGGCTGCTCACTTCGCCTCCCTCCGCTTCGTTTAAATGCTCAGTGTGAACATGTGTAATGTGGCAGGAGCTTGTTAATGTACGATGCTGTCAGGCGTCCATGCGCTGACTCATTGACTGATGTGTTTACTGCCGTCTCTGCTCCTCCTGTCCTCTCAGGCCTGTGTCTGTGACTCTCATCGGATGTTTCTCCTGTTGTTTTTCAACTGTTAATTCTGAGCCAGCAATAGCTACCAGACCTTTACAATAAAAAATACTAATCTCAATGTAAATATAAAAATGTATGTTTAATTTGAAAATTAAAATGCATACATAGGTTATATTAAAGCTCTCCAAAGTGATCTGACTTTCAGTCCATGCCCTACTTGATTTATTTCCCATCCTGCTCTGTTGGCTCACATTAGACATGGGTCAGAATCGCATGCTTAGGGAGTGATGTACATGTTAACTGTTAACTAAAAAATCCAGCATATGGCTTATTCCAAGCGGTTAGCCCTCTGCCTGGAAGGTAGGTTTATTAAACTATAGCAGGAAGGCGCCACATTTCAGCCATTTAAATGCCCTTCCTGTGTTTCCGTGGCAGGCGAAGCCTCCTTGCCTCCGTATGTCTTGTCAGTAGTGTGAGATGTTGATGCACACGCACACGCACGCATGTAATCATATCTTTGTGGGGACCACTCATTCATTTCTATGGGAAAAATGCTAAAGCTAACCAAACAAAATACAAGAGTTTTTGCAGTTTTAGCTTTTTGATTGCAGTCACGAATTTTTAGAAAATTGCTCTGCATAATGATGTTGGACCTGGAACGGGTATTCATCACGCTCTGGGGACATTTGGTCCCCACAAGGTAAGGCATACCTGGACCATACATATAACACTGTGCTCACCGGCTCAGTGATCCTGCCACCCCCTGCTGCTGCTTCCGAATGCCCTTGGAAAGGCCTCGCTGCTCAGTCACATGCTTTCATTTGCTCTGCTTGGCTTGTAACCCATGGACATGGCAAAGAGTGTTTGTTCTGAGCAAGTTGCCGTGGACATCAGGCAAATCAAGATCGCAAGTGACCTTTGGCACAGGTGTATCTGTGGGTCAAAGGTCACCTGGTACCCATTGTGCCCCAGCTGCAGAAGGGCTTTTGCACTGGCCATGCAGACCTCGTGGTTCAGGTTCACTGACATCCCCAGGAAACACAGAGATACGCTGGGCTGCCTGGGTCTTGCCCCCCCCCCCCTCACTCCCCCCGTTCCTCCTCTTTTCTTTGTTTGCCCCGATCGTCTGTCGCAGCCTGGTGCCACATTTTCTGGTGCCTGACTCACTCACTCCACAGCTCCAATTGTATTTTGT